TTTCCTGGAAGGTAGAATATGATTTATTGTATATTTCATTGAATCTAAGATCCCTTTGGTTGTAAATTATACCGTTATTTTATATACTATATGGGGAAAGGAAATTTAAAAACCCTACCAATTAAATTACACAACATTTGATTGTCAGTGGCATTTAGATTTTAGAGATATTAAAATGTGAAAAAACACATTTTAGAATTAATTGAATTATTACTTATGAAGACATTAGAAAGAACTCTGGTTTATAGTTGCAGATTAATTTAAGAACAACGAAAATTGTTCTGAATAACATTTATATTTGCAAATTTAGTCTTAAATACAGAACTATAAAAAGATTAAATAATATGAGTAGTCATTAAATTTTAAAAGTAGGAAGGTCCTTAGGGCTGCCAAAGATGTTAATAAATAATCATCCCTTTAGTATTTTAATACCTATTATAAGCCAGACATTGTAAGTGTTGGGTACATAGTGATAGATAAAATACTGGCACCTGCCCTCATGGGGCTTAAAGTTAGGGGAAGGGGTTGAAAATTGCAATGAGCACTTTAAAGGAAAAGTGAAAGAATGGTACTTAGGGATTCCTGATTGAGACTGGGAAGTCTGTAAGGAACTGAAGAAAAGCTAGAGTGGGTAGAAATGAACGAGGTGAAAAGTAGACATGTGAGAAGCAGCCTGTGTAAAAAGCCTGAGCAAGAAGAGTTTTTTAGGCAGTGGTAGAAAGGGAAGGGTGGGGTGGGGGTCTGGGTGACTGCAGTTCAGGTAAGAGCAGATGATGCAGGGCCTCATGGACTATGTTAAACATTTTGGATTTTAGTCTAAGCCCAGGGAGGAACCACCAGAAGGTTTTAAATGGGGGAAGTGACCCTGGGTGCTCTGTGAAGCCGGCATTGGTTAGGATAAGATTCAAAGTGAAGAAGCCCCTTAGGAGTCTGTTGCTAGTTCAGACCAGCTAAGTTGACTACTTACCTGGGGAGTTTTGAATGGATATACATATTCTTGAAGATAATTTGCTATTGTTATCAAAAGTCTTAATGTACCAAAAAGTATACATTTTGACCCAGTAATTCCATTTCAGGGCACTTATTCTAAAAAAATAATCTTAGATATGTACAAAAGTTGAGCTACTAGTATGCTCATCCCCTATTATTTATAATAAGAAATTGGTTTAACTACACTGTACATCTGAAGCTGCCATTGAATAATATATGTCAACTATAATTACATATACATATAGTCACGGGACATGGAGTAGAGAGTGGGAATGGAGTCAATGGAATTGTAATAGAAAGTATGATAACAGGGGTGGGAAGGCAGTGGATGCGGGGGTTGTCACTTTGTGAGGGGTGAAAAGGATAACTATTGCATGGTTTTGTATACCTGAAACTAATAATAACAATAATAATATAATTAAATTAAAAAAAGAAATTGGTTTAAAAGATTATATCCTTTTCTAACAAGTGGCAGGGAAAGAGGCAAGTCACTCTGAGTTTAAGGAGGCCACATCATCAGGAAGATTTGTTTAGACAAGGAGAGTCCTCTACATGTCTGGGTGGGTGCGAGGAAGAGAGACACTGAAAATACAGAATGGAAAAGAGATATTCAATAAAACAAATCCAGGGGAGGAGGAGATAAGTACCCAGGGAGTGCAAGAGCTCCTGGTGTAAAAATGCACTGCAGTTCCACAAGGTCTTATTTTTTGAGAACTAGCCTGGGAACCTAGCCACGCCCTGCACCATTGTTACAGGAGGAGAATGTGTTTGCTTGTCCAACTAGAGAGTTGTAAATGAATTCTTGGTATGCAATCAGCCCATAAATTCCATTGCCTATAAATCTGAGTTTCCTTGGTTAAGTATTGACTGAGCAGGATGAATTTTGGGGAAAACATCTCTCTCTCCACTGCTCCCTCCTTCTCTTTCCTACCCTCCTTTTCCCCTCCCTCCTTCCCTCCTTCCCTTCTTTCTTTCTTTCTTCCTCCCTCCCTCCCTCCCTCCCTCCCTCCCTCTCTCCCTCTCT